TCTCCTGGGGTTGCTGGATGTTTCTGCCGGTTTATTGCTCTTTTCTTCTTCTTCACCTTGAGCTTCTTGACATATCGGGAACAGTTGTGATCCTCAGTTGATGTCTCAAGACCACTTTCTCCATCGAGATGTACTCTTCGTGAGGGTTGACCAACATCATCAATGTCGTTGAAATCATTGACTCCGATTTGAGGATGTATCAATAGGTCATGGATCTTTGAAGCATGATGACATTCATGAGGAGTGCATTCGTAAGTTCCAAGATCAACGTAGGGGATGTTGTCATGGATTGTCAAATCGATGCGTTCTCCATTCTTCGTAATCATGAAAGGCATTTGACCAGATGGCCATACAAAGGAATATCCTTCTTCCATGCATCGTTTCCCAAGAGACATCACGGACGGAGTGTCGTCCAGTACATAGGCATGAGAGGTCACATCAAAGGTTCCCAGGTCGATCTCTGCTTCTGTCTGAGTAGCAGTTGAACCGTTGGCTGTGTGGAACATGATAGGATCACAAGTTCGCTGCTTCAAGTTCATCCTTTCGGCTTTCCTTGCAGAAATCAGATCATGCCCGCTGCCAGAATCCAGGATGAATCTACGATCTTTGGCTTGCACTGGTAGTGAAATGCACATTATGTTCTTGGACTTCATGAGGGAGTTTCCAACTTCGTGTTCAACAAGCTCTTCAGTAAAAGTCAAGTCATCACGATCATTGTCCAGTTTGATCAACATGTCGAACTTGGGGCCAATAATGATTCTAACTTCATCAACAAAACGATGGAGTCCACATCTGTCCATGATGATAGCCTTGGCCCGTGCTCGGACTGAACCGAGGGTGTTGTCGGACTTGGACTGATCGTCGGTCAAATCATCGACTTTCCAGAAAACATATTGCTTGTTGGGGTCACGATACATACGTTTGGGTAGTCCCTCCTGGTAGTCCTCAATGGCGATCTCGTGCACCTCAGGTTCCAGATCAAATGAGATCCTGCGATCATCAGAAGACTTCTTTGCGCTGGCTATCCTCGGTGAGGTATAATCCATGGAATCTTCATTGTCGCTATCAAAGAAGGAATCAATGGTAATGGGAGTCGCCTTCTTCTTTGGTGTCTTCTTGCTGGTTCTCTCTGAGGATGCTGAAGGCGATTTATCTGCATGTAGGAATTTACATTTGTTTCCGAACTTGCAGGTACCTTCTTGCCAATTCCAACATACCTTCTTTTTGGGTCCAGCTGAAGATGAACTTCCTCTACCTTTCCCTCTTGATGAATCTCGACTTCCGCTTCTGCCTTTCTTACCTTTCATCTTGGCATCATAGACCTTCTGAGAATGACTGTAAAGACATTTGTCACCTTTGTTGCATCCTCCTTTATTGAAGAAGTAGTTACAGAAAATCTTCTTCTTGTCAACGGGTGAAGATGATCTTCCCTTCCCACCTTTGCCTTTCTTGTTGTTCTTGTCGGCATGGGATTTCGGAGAAGGTGTAGGAAGTACCGATGCAGCTTCACTCTTCGCTTTCGCCTTAGGACGTTTGGGAGGATCACCTGTAGACGATGCGGCCGCTTCATTCTCCTTCTTGGTCTTGACGGGAGCGGCAGGCTTGTCTGCATCTTCTAAGGCAGGTGTCGTCTTGTTAGAGGACAATGACAGTTTCACTGCACGTTCTCTATCTTTCAACAGTCGTTCTTGCTTCCCTCGTGCTATGTATCCCTTGATCATACCAGTTAGGTAAGCATAGGTCTTCTCAGGATGCCCTTCATCAAAGGTTTTGTATCGGTTGATATCGAAGGCCATAAGCTTTGAATGTTCAATCTTCCGGAACAACGTGTCACGCAGGGAATTATTGGAAGGCAGATCATCATGTTTCATATTGTATACGATGTCAAGCCACTTGTTGTAGAAGGCCTCAAGTTGGTCATCTCCATAGTAGTTGAACATATACAAATGATGGGCATTGTAGAGAACTTCAGTGTGGTCAGGTGACTTGAAGCTAATCAATATCATTGCAAATAGTTCTCGTCCCTTGATGAAGTCCCCACTCCTCCCATACAATTGGTTCTTCATGGACATGTCATACTTCACTTGCATGGATTTGTCCCCAGCATTGTCAATGACTTTCCTCAAGGCGTTGGAGAGCTTGGCATCAATGGATTGGAATCTCACATCAGGAGCTTTGGCCAGCGCCTCCAAGTCAGGTTGATCTACAAGACACGGAGCTAACCACGCCTTCCAATCTTCATAGTTTCGATCTCCACTTGCAACGCAAACTTCATGAACGACACTTCCCTTCCAGGATGAAAGTTCAGTGGTCTTAGGCCAGGGTTGGAGGCTGATCTTTTCGGCTTCTCTTAGAGATACAGATGACTTGGATCTATCCCTTTCAAGGTTCTCCAACTCCTTGACATTTATGTTGTACTCGTTCCTGAGCTTCTCGAAGGCTTCAGCTTCTGCTCGGTATTCCTGCTCTTCATCATTGGCACGATCTTCAGCTTGAGAGAAATTGTTCTTATAGTAATCTTTACGATCTTCCATCTTCTTCAACTCATCCTGAAGATTTCGAACTTCAGCGTTCCTCTCTTGCTTCATCTCGTCCAACTCTGCTTTCAGTTTGGCACACTTCTCTTCACATTCATTCCGAGGCATGGCATTACTGGGGTACCCATGTAATGTAGTCGGTCTACTCATTGATGAAGAAGAATGAGCTTGGTTTTCCAACTTCAGGGCAGCAATGGTGCTCGACATTTCTTCTACCTCAGCGTAACGCTCATTGGCCAATTGATGCATCTCGGTCAAATGGCTTTCAGGAATGGAATAGTCAGTCGCACCTTTGATTACGAGTCTTCTGTCGTTCAACATCTTGATGGACTTACCTGCATCCCTGTGAGCACGCTCAAGAGAGTCCTTTTGAGCTTCAAGTTCAGTATGAAGGCGAGCAATAGCTGTATCCCTGTCATTGAGTTCATTGTGCAAACTGTCAAACAAGGTACTCGTCACATTCGGATTGTTGCTCATGTGATCGATCTTGTTCAGAGCATCTTGATATTTCTTACCAGTTTCATCAAAGTTTCGCTGGAACACTTTGAGCAGGTCCTCAGTATCAATGAGTTCAGATCTATTCTGCAAGTACAACTTGTCAACTTCGGCCTTGGATTCTTTCAAGCTGTCACGTTCACGCACGGCTTGCATGTACATCTCGTATAGAGGTCCTCCATGCGGTGATCTGCTCGGTGACGATCTTCTGGCTTGTTGACAGGAAAGTTCATGATACTGATTCTTCGATTCAGTCAGTTGCTGTTGCATTCGATCTAAAAGACTTTGTTTCATGTGTAGTTCAGAACGTAGTCCCATGATCCTCATGTCCCGCATGCCACCTGATTCAGCTAGAGATTCTTCAGAAACCCTGTTCTCAGAAATCGCTAGTCGAGATTGTAAGTTCTCACTGTGGATCACCTGCAATCGAAGTTGCGATTCTTCCAAAGCTAAGTGATGTTCACATTCTGCATAACGGTCATGTTCAGATCTTATGTTACTACGGAACTCCTTCATGATCTCGTCCCTCTTCATGTCAGCAGCATCGAGCTCAGTTTCCAGTCGCCTGACGTTCATGGCCATGGTGTGCTTCATCGTCTGGTTCTGATTAGCAACCTCGAGCATCTCGATCTGTAAAGCACATGTCTGGTCGTTAGCATAGCCGACCGCTAGAGCTTCCTGCTTGGCATTCATCTCTGCATTTTCCGGTTCCAGTCTGAGTTGATTGATGTGAGCATTCGCATCAGCGCCCACATGCACCATAATTGCGTTCGCTTGTCCCATTTGTTCATCGAATTCCGAACGTAGTCGTGAATATTTGAATTCCAAATGAGATGCAGCTTCATTCGACATAGTCTGATACCTTTCCAACTCTTCGATCCTGTAGGTCGCACCTTCGTCTTCTTGTTGTGCAGCCTGTAACTCGAAGTTCAGCATCTGGAGTTGTTCGGTCATCGACATCATCTCTTGATGAGTGGTGCTTTCCAGGAAATTAAATTGTTGATAGGCATATGCTGTCGTCTCGCTCAATCTTGCCTGAAGTACGGATTCTTCTTCAGTGGCCCTTTCCAGTGATGTCTTGTATTCAGCTAATTCACTCTGATAGGCAGTGAAGATGTCGCTACCACTTGACGGGGCGTTCACTTGTTGATAAGATCCTGTCCCTGATGGAGTAGCGTCCTGAATCGGTGAAGGCGGATTCGACGACGTAGTCTTTGCCTTAGTCCTTGGAGTCATCGGAGGCGACAATTGTCGTGCAGATGATCTTCTCTTTCCAGGTGTGCTGTCCCTATCTTCAATTGCTTGCATTGTCGAAATTTGTCTCCCTCTAGGAGCAACCAGATGTCGCCTGGGTTGGCTTGTTCTCAATTCTGAGGCATCGCTTCCACCAGTGTCGATACTCTGTGAAGAATTTGACTGCGTGCCGGCAGCTGGTGCAACGGCATGTCCAGAGAAAGAAAATGCATTATCGCTGCTATCCTGTTCAGTCATCTGTAAGGCCCGCGGCTCCCCGCTCGTAGGCTCCGTAGGAGTCCTACGGCTGATAACCTGCGAATCGGGGATTGTTGGCCCGATTATGTTCCTGTAATTGATGTTGATACTTGCAGTTGCAATGACGACCTCACGAGGGCGGCAGCTTCCGCATGGCTCTCATTTTCCCTGTAGCTGCAGTATGTCTTGAGCCAAAGAGGCCAATGTCGGAGTGCCCCTTTGACGATGGATCCTAGAGTGTATGATTATGCATATATACAGTGATCCGTAGCCTACACTCTATTCGCATATAGATAGATAGATAGATAGATAGATAGATAGATAGATAGATAGATAGATAGATAGATAGATAGATAGATAGATAGATAGATAGATAGATAGATAGATAGATAGATAGATAGATAGATAGATAGATAGATAGATAGATAGATATCTTACGGGAAAGGAAGGGGAACTATCTTTCTCCGAGGCAACCTTTCACTGTTTCACTCCGCCTGGCAGGGCTTCAGTAAAGAGCACTGGTGCCACGCCGCCATGCAGCCGCGTCTTGTTGCTACCGAACTTCTTCCTGGCCGTGGCTGTGGATATCTGTGGAGGCAAACCTCAGGGCCAACAGCTTGGTGGGGAAAATGGCAAGAGCGTGGAGAAATGGATTGCAATTCACCACAAATTTGTTGCACAAATGCAATGACGAATTCTTAGCTGACTAGTGGATTTTTAATCCCCATTAAAAGAGCAAAACAACATGAAACAAACTTAACTACTCAACCACGTTTTACCCAGCTAGTGTAAGGCTGCAGATTGGAAGGTTTTTGCACGCAATGGGCCTATGTTTTGCAGCTTGGTACCCCCCATGTCTAGCGGTTTGTATCTCCTATCGACTTCATATACCATTGATCAACCACATGTCATATCATATTGTTTGTTTTTTTTCACACATACCACTTAAAACGATTGACAAACTATTTCCCCAACCTAACCATTATGGTTTTTAAAAAACATGGAATTTTTGTCCACCATTTTTCACGGTGAAATCGCTGAAATCCGCCCATTTTTCCCACGTCCTGATCCACTCCTCGACGACCGGGGAAGTGCTGTTGTAGACGACTTCTCCTTGGCCCATCCAAACAACCGGCGAAAAAGTGGAAAAGTGGTGCAAATTCTGACATATCCCGATCAAAATGATCAAAATGCAGAGAGAAGTCTGGGAAACATCATATCCAACGGGTTTATTCCATGTTCGACCACTCATTTCTGATGGGCATATCATTCCTGATGATCTCATGCTTGATGTGTGTTATGTTTTTTGCCATGTTGACATTAGTTGACATACCAATGTCAACACACATGTAAAAAGAACAACACCAATTTTTTGTGGTATATATGGTATATATACCATTGATATATACCCTTTTGGACCATTTAATGGATCCCATCCTGTCGCCAGGCATCCCGCCAGGAAATCGTCATCCAACGAAAGGACGATGTGGGGATCCATCGACTCCTCCACCAGCAGCTGCTCCTTGCCCTCGCCAGACTCGTCCTTGCCATGGAAGATGTTTGGGGCTTTTAACCCGGTAAAAACTGGGGAAAACTGGAAGATGATCCAAAAATTGTGGGATATTTTGGGAACCCCAAAAAAATATATATATATATAAATCTTCTGTATATCTTCAATCCAATAAGATGTCCCAGCTAAAATATCAGATTTTCTTAGGTCCATGGATCCAACAATCCCAAAACAACGCACTCCCGTTTCGAATCATCGAAACTCCCGGTGTTTGAACCGCTTGAATCACTGGTTGGTGGTTTTAACCATCTTGAAAAATATGAAAGTCAATGGGGAGGATTATCCCATATATTCTGGAAAATAAAAAATGTTCCAAACCACCAACCAGATCATCATTTGTCCGAATTTGTCCCCAGTAAAGTTGCCACTTGGGGTACCCCATCCCTTTCCACGTCACGCTAGCCCTGCGGTCCCCTGCGGTCCCCTGCGGTCCCTGTAGAGGAACGGACCCCAATTCTTCTCCCAACGTCCTGGTGAAATGATGTGAAATGGCCTGTGGATCACTCTGTATGGATCGGGACCTTACAAACATGAGCTGCCAAAGCACCAAAATCACCAACCAAATCATCACCAACGTAGCCGTCCTAAAGCTTTCCCGGCAATGGCCGGTGGGTGGCCCAGCCGTTCCGATGCAAAGGGAATGACTTGCTGTCCTCGACACAGCCAACAACTTGCTGGTATCTTGGGATGGTGTTCCATTTGGACATTAGGATTTTATGGGTAAATGATGGTAACTGAGATATTTCTTTGCAACAGCGTGCATATTTTGTGTACCCTATTAAAATACCATTGCAATGAGCTGAATTCATGAACCCGCCACAAAAAAAAAGGTGAATTCCATGCGACCTTTCGAGGTTTTGGGATTGCGAAAATCCCAAAAGTATGGCGACTAGTCCCTATCAATTTGTATGATTTAATATGAATATCTATTCATACAAAATTGTAGTGGGTTAAAGTGGGTTATCAAAAAAAAACTCTTCCATCTTTCTAGTGGCTTGTGTGGCCTTCCATCTTTTAGTGTGTGGCTACACTGTTAAACAATCCACAAAAATGCCGTCGGGTTTCCATGCAGCGACAAATCCTCCATAACCTGCGCAATGTACATGCGACCTGACAAGTTGGAGGTGTCAGGAATTGCTGCTGGGTAGCAACCAACGATAATCATTTTATAGTCATTTTATAGTAAGAAATGGATTGATAAAAGGGAAAATCTACAATAACATCATAACCAACAAATACCAACAATAGTGGATACAAATGGATTAGATCGGTGGGTGACCAACTAAAAAAAAATCAATGGGGAACATGTTTCCGGGATTTTAGGGGAAATATACAGAAAATCGACCATGGATGAGCATGGTATGTTTGCCTCAAACCAGCATGGTTATAGCGGATACACACCATAAATGGAATGGAATAAATGGAATATAACTGACAATAACCAATATTAACCAACAACTAATGGGATAACCAAACTGAGGTGAGAATAGCTATGGTTGCATCCCCAGTTATGGGTCACATCCCCAGCCTGCTGGTCGGCACTCCAGGGTCTTGCTCGGCCTGGTTACTTCCGGGTTGGGCCCGTAGGGCTTGTCTGGTGGATTCAACGGATTCGTAATTTTTGTCTGGGAATAATGATCTGATGTAATTAATGATGAGTTTTTTTCTAAATATGGTGGATAAAAAGCTATGTGTTGACACTATCATTTCTGAGGAAAATGATCATAATACAGCATGGGAATACCTATCCAGGTCAACTGGGGTTTGAATTGTTTGTGAATGCAGGATAGGCCCCCAATTCATAGATATTTTTGAATTTATATTACCCCCTTTCTAAAATCCGTTTTTTCATCCTTTTCTATCTTTTGGGGTTACTTGCAAATTATATATGATAAGGATTGATAAGGTTTTGGGATTTGGCGGTGCCCCATTTTCAGACAGTCCAAAAAGATCAGGACGCGGAGTTTGTCATCATTTTGCGACACCAAACCAGATTTCTGCTTTTCCATGATTTTGGGATATTTTGGGTGTCCCCAGCCCCAAACCTCCGGGAGGTGTACAGCATCATCACGTCCCCACCGGGCATGCGAAAAAGTCGTGGATCTTCAGGGCCCAAGTAGACTAAACCTGCGGAAACGCTTAAGCGCCATGCTTAAACTACACAAAACATGGGGAAATTAACATGATTAAAACACGAAACACGGAGAAAACAAGGGATTTAAGCATGAAAAATGGAGAAACTGTGGAGCTAAACACGAAAAACTTGGAAAACATGGTGGTTTAAACATGAAAAATGGTGGAACATGGGGATTGAACCACCAATCATTGAGGTTTTTATCAACTAAAATGGAGGCTGCAATGTCATGCTTGGGGCACTCACTTCCGCACGAACCCTGTACAGAATTGAGGTACGCCTGGCTGGAGTTCTGATTCACCCAAGAAGTGAATGTTGCTTCGGTTACATTCGCACCTCACATAAAACTTAAACATGTTTGGCTAAGTCCAGATATTTTTGTTGATTAAATCCTTCAAAATCCAACATTTGGTTGGTGAAACCTTCGGTTTCCTAGTCTCAAAGATGGTAAAAGCCACACTTTCTGTCAAACCATGGTTGAATTCCGGCTATACCAGTTTTTGCTGGTAAAACCATGTAAACCCAGCATTTCTACACGGTCCAAAGCCGATCAAAGCCGCATTAAAAATCCATGGCGACTGGGCGTCTCAGAACCGACCCCCTGCACCTCCTGGCAAGTCTTGGCATTGCAACTGCTCTGGCTGCACGTCCTGACAGAAACGGCTGCTGAACATGATACTTACGTGGCAGTGGGTCAAAACCCTGGTACCCCTGGTGAACATCAAAATAGCTGGGATTTATGGATGTTCATTCCCCTAAAAATGGTATTAATAGGTACGTAAATTAACATGATGATGATGATGATGTTTTACTTGATTTGATGTTTCAAATCACCATTAAATGAATCAATTGGGGTGTATACCAAGAACAAATACGGGTTCTTATTCTTGGCCACCATTTAGAGTTATTATATCCATTCCATAGTATTCTTGATTTCATACCAAATGTTGCTGTTTAACCACCAAAAGAAAAACATTTACAGTAAGTTGCTATAGCTGACCTATATCCATGTATAGCAACTGCAACAATTTATAAAAATGAACATAGAAATTTACAATCCCCATTTATTGTTATAACATTTTTCCTATGAATTAGTTCATGATTGGAGGGAATGGAGGGAATAATTTATAACATTTCTATATCCATTTATAGCAACTATCACAAATCATAGTTTCTAGCTATAAATGGCAATGAATATAGAAAATTCTAGCAACTATCACAATTTATAGCCATAGAATCCCCATGATTCCCATGTTTCAACGATTGCTTCAACGCCTGCAGGGTCAGCAGCGACGGTGCTCGCGTGGCGCGGAACTGGGCATCCAGCACCGCCAGGACCATGACGTTCGAAATCGCCATCTGCGGTGGCGATTTCGAAGATGGGAAATCCATGGTAAAAACGTGGGAAAATAGGAAAATCCATGGGATTTGGGGGAGATCTATAGGAAATCTATAGGAAATCTATAGGAAAAAGATAGAAGAATAGGGGAAATCTATAGGAAAAAGATGGGAAAAAGATAGGAAACATATGGGAATAGATGGAAAAATAGGGGAAACTGGGGGAAAAAACTGTAAGCTCTTGAATGTATCAAGATCATAGAGCCAGAAAGATATAGAAAAAAACATATACTGTATTACCGTATATTCTGTACATGTGTGATACAATCTGTGCAGAATGGCTGAGCAGATTTGGATCAGAGGAGATGAGATCACTTGGTTCAGATTAAATCATTTGGATCACTTGGATCTATCAGATTTGGATTTAGCTTCTGAATTGTGATTTTGCGATGTAGGTTTAGATTTAGCTAGTAAGAATAAGATGAAGATGAGATTTGGAACTAGCAGGAGACTCGATTCAGGTTCGGGTTTAGTATTAGGTTTAGATTAAGATAAATTGAGAATTAGAACTAGAATTAGATTTGGATTGAATGTTCAGGCTTAGATAGGCAAATAGGCATTATATGTACACAAAAGGATGTAAAAAATGATGTAAATTAATATGTAGATGCACTCGGAGTGTTTGAACCCCGATTTGTATATCACGGGGGGGTTGGCAAACATCGCAGCACTGGAGTGGATTTGAAAAACATCACCTTTCGCCATTTGAAAACAATGCCTTCTCACATACCGAATCTTAGATACTCCCTTCAAGAGTTGGATCAAAACATATAAAACATACATCCAAATGGTGGTTTTCCCATATTTTTTCTATAAAACATACATCAAAATGGTGGTTTTCCCATATTTTTTCCCATATTTTTTCTATGCCTACAATGACCCAAAAAATGGGCGAACCCGGAGGCCCGGAGGCTCCGGAGGCTCCGGAGGCGCACAGGGATACAGAAGAACTGGCGGTCGTAGATCTCGGACAACTCCATGTGTCGAAAGGACGCCAACCACCTGGAAACAACCCGGCCTGGTAATGGGAAGATCGGGAAAGAACTGAAAGAACTATGAAAAATGGGAGAACCAGTTAAATAGGTCTTTGAAAACTCTCAAAACTATGAAAAGATGCTGGTACCAGGGTGTACCAGATGGTGTTTGATGCTGTTTGTCCCCTATTTTTCTGGCATTTTTCAGCCACATCCCCTCTGGGCCCCATCCCATGGCGATGGCGGCATCGCACCTCTCCTCTGGGCTTTGCCTCCACTCCTCCGGCAACGGAACCATGGAGGGGTTGAACAAACTCAGCGCCACGCGCTCCTGCCAGAAATGTGTCACAAACCATGGCTGGGGATCAAAATATGCTGGATCAATGGCTGAGGCACCATCAAAATATGATGATTTTTCCTGAAATAGTGGAATATCTCATCAATCACCATGAATGATTTCATGGGAAAACCGATTGACTGAGCCAATTAAGCCACTATATCCCAATATTTATCCCCAATATTTATCCCCATGATATTGGTGAACTAACCCAATCAACCAATTAGGCACCATTTCAATACGATGTTTAAACCCTGAATGTTTCTGTTGCATTGTAATCCACTTAGGTTGGTTTTCCGATGTTTGTAAATTGTACCAACAATGGTTTGTCACGATTTTCCCCACAAAATTCAGGCAGCCCCAAGATTTTGAGGCAAAGTCTCTGCTCCGAGCTGGGGCACCAATGAAGAACATCTAATTTTCACCAGCGTTTAGTGGTCATAAATTGACCCATTGGAGACACCCATTTACAAACACTTTCCAGAATGCCCATCTTTACACATTCTTGATGGTGAAAACCACAGTTGCTACCCTCTGGTAAACGTTTACAAAAAGCTATGGAAAATCACCGTTTTAACAGGGGAAATCATCCATATGTCAATGGTCCATGGCTTCCATAGCTATGTTCATTTACTGGGAAATCTGGTTATATTCATGGTATATCCACATTAAAGTTTTAGTTGGAGGGGAAATCACGATATATCATTGCTATATCATGTTATATTATGTCCCTATTAAAGTAAAGTTCATATCTGTTCATCAAGTCATCCAACGGCCACGTCGCTGCGTCCTGGCTCCAACGCCGCTCTTCCAACTGTCGCAGTCTCAACAAGAGCGAAGCGTTCAAGTCGTGCCTGCGTTCCATAAATGGGGGCTACCCCAATATAAATGGTGAGTTTGTTACCCCATTTATGGTGAGTTTTTGTTGATGGAAAATCCCAATGTAAAATGGATGATTTGTTGGAAGATAGCCCCATTTCAGGGACAGCTCCATCTGATTTCAGGGTGACTTCATTGGAAAGCGGGATTTGTTATGGGAATATCTCATCAATCACCATGAATGATTTCATGGGAAAACCATGGGAAAACCGATTGACTAAGCCAATTACGCCATTATATCCCAATATTTATCCCCAAGATTTATCCCCAATATTTATTGGTGAACTAACCCAACCAATTTCTTGTCACAAATCCAGTCACAAATCCAGTCACATCAATCGTCACATCAATCATATTAGTTCACTAATTAGCCATAACTATATAAGTCACCAATAGTTAATTAGATACCAATATTAGTCACTATATATATAACTATTATTAGTTAATTAGATACCAATTAAGTCATAACTCATAACACGTCACCAGTCACCAGGTATCTCGGACGCCTCGCCAAGTGTTCCTCGGCCACTCGCAGCTGTTCTTCAGCCGTCTCCTGCAGTTGCTGACGCCGCGTCAGCTGCAGCGGCAACCTTGGCGACGTGGCAAACCTGTCTGATTTCATCTGAAAACTGGGTTTGTTCATTGGATCTTCAATGGGATTTCAATGGATTTCAGCTGAAAACTAGCAATTCTCATGGGATTTCAGCTGATGTTCAATGGGAATTCGAGGGATTCTCGATATTTTCAATGGGATTTGATCATATTTCATTCATGCCATGGCCCAAATATGCCCAAATGCCCAGCAGCATACTGTCATTTCGAAGGGCGCTCAAGTCGTCGCATCTGTGGATCTGATACTCTCCAGGCCCTGGGGCCTGGTACCTCAGCGCAAACGCTGATGGCTAGAAATGCTGCAGATGTTCACCGTCATTTGGGGATGGGTCAAAACCCTGGTACCCCTGGTGAACATCAAAATAGCTGGTAAATGGATGGTCATTCCCCTAAAAATGGTATTAATAGGTATTGATCCATACCCATTTCAACTCCAAATGGAGAAAAACATGGGAAAAAAACATGGAAAAATTGACTAGCCACATTCTCCACATCCCATTTCTTTTTGCTGGAGATGTCACTACGTCCACATTTTGGTGGCCATGGCTACTATAGTTTGTAGGTCTCGTTTCTGTTGGCTATTTCATAGGCTTTAACCATTGACCCATGTTCGTGCTTGAAATCACTGATATTCCATGATGATCGGCTCTGAAAATCTGGGATACCATATGGGATATCCCTATCCAATTCCTATTTTTCATGAGGAAAATCTGGGATATCCCAACAACCCATTCCTATTTTTCATGAGGAAAATCATCATAAAATCACGATAAAACCATGAAAAAACTAGAGGATTTTGGTGTACCCTACCCGTCGAGGCACATCTCAGCTGTGAACTCTTGCACCAAGGGCGCCTGCCGCGGATTGAACCAAGAAAACTTGGCTCTGTTTGTCCAGCGAAACCAGAGGAAAAAAACGGTGGCAATTTTTTGGGGCACCCAAAATGGAAGTGTGATTTTTGATGAAGATTTTCCAAAAAATGGAATTTTGGTGTGATTTTGCAAAAATCCTTTTTGGGAGAGAATGATTTTCCGGAAGTACCAAAGTGTGATTTTCTAAATTCATGGAGAGAATGATTTTCCCAACCATCCCGTCTTGGCATCAATGTTGGCGAAACGCCGATGTGGATCAAATGGGTCGATTGTCGGTAAAATCTCCGTTGATTGGTAAAATCTCTGTTGATATTGCGTATTGAATACCCGTCCATGTGGGGGAACATTTACGTGTTGGACAGGTGCAATCTCTTTTAAAAAAAAAACGAAGTTGATCTTTTTCTCAAGTTGAGACCAGCCATATATATGTCGGTCAAATCTCTGTTTTGCCATAAAATCCCGGGTTGACAGCAGAATCCATCATTTGTTGGTAGAATCTACTTTCTAAGTGAACAATCCATTTTTTTCCTGGATCTCCAAGTTTTTTCTAGTTGAAACACCAAGTTTATCCAATTTTTATGATTGAACAACCAGTTTGTTTATGGCAAATCATCGTTTTTTTCGGCAAGGCCGTTAAGTTCCCTGACATCGACACCTCCGCCAGCGCGACACGTCGCTGCAGCAGCGCGCTGCCAGTCGCGGCGGAAGTGTCGGTGCAGTGATCTGCGAGGGCCGGAACCTGGGAGGAATTCGTCCAAGTTTTCACAGTGGAGGAATCATCAAGTGACATATCATTGGATTGGTTTAAGGGAACATCTTAACCGGAAACCATGGTTTTTACCATCAAATTGTTGGGGGGTTCCTGCAAAATTTCCCATCATCCAATTCTATGAATATAATTTTATCATGATGGTGATGATGAATAATGGTGATATAATATCTACAAATCAAAAAATGGGGATGTAGAATGATGGTGATAAAATATTATCATATATTATCGTATATAGCATATTATCTACAGTATCGTGTAATCATCCATAAATTATGGAGATGTCGTTTATGAAACAATCCACAAATTATTGGAGTTATATACTCATCCATAAAAATTGAGATGTAAAATGATGGTGAGAAAATATTGTCCATAATAATTGAGAATTCCATTATATTCTTGGATAGATATCTTAGTATATTGGAAACTGGGATCCATATTCTTAATGTTCTCCCATTTTTGGAGGAATCATCTGCGAAAATTGAGATGACCATTAATAACCATGATGATACAATGATGAAATGGATATAGAAATTATAGAGATATAATGAGGATAGATTCTCGGATAGATGAGGATTTTCCATAGATTCGAATAGATGTTCATCAGAGACTGAGCCCAATCCCTGGTGAGTGCATGATGTGCATTGGTTCACTCCTCCAACCTCCAACCCTGCCGGGAAAATCCAAACCAAGGGCCAGTTATGGGTCAAAATTGGGGATCCTGCAACTGAACCGGCCATGTCAGGTCACATCTCAGCGGCGAATGCTGCTGCAACTGGCTCGGTAGGGGCCCCTTTTTAGTTCCTTGGTTGAAGCCAATTCATGGCGACAGGTCGCTGAGACCTTTGGCGGTGAAACAGCGCTCTGTGCGCTTGCTGCGGCTTTTGGTGGAAGTGGAGAAGAACCCCTACGGCCTCTAGGCCCTGAAGGACTTTGGTGGAATAGGGGTTGAGCCCAATAACCCCCACTGCCTGCTCCAGCTACATTGGTAGCGGAGCAGAAGCTCCAGGCCTTACGTTTTGGCCCTGTTGAGATCGTCATTGAAGGTGACTTGAATCTCCGGTGCTACAGCTTGGACGTGAACCTTTTGGCTGGTCGAAGCGGGATACTACGTCCTGAACTTCCACGACCTTTTGGCCGAGCTCTTTTACCAGTTTGAATTTGCACTCCCCAGTGACGCGGCTGGGATCCTTTGCAGGCCATTTTGGCCATCAACCACTTCTCAGAAGATGTCATCTGAGAAGGAACAAAACGTTCCAGTTTGGGACGGAAGCGCAAGATCATGGCGAAGGTATACACGTGAGGTTTGTTGGTATGTGAGGGCCACACTAGTTGAGAAAAGAAGGTACTGCGCTACAAAACTGGTGGGGAAACTACGTGGTCCTGCTCGACTATTGGCTATGAGCTGGACTACAATGGAATTTGACCATGTGAATGGAGTCCGAGATCTTCTACAAAGATTGGCAGCTTCTCCACTGGTGAGGCGAACCTTGCCGAACGCTGCTGCAACATGCCAGCAGTACTTTAGCTTCAGACGTGAAGCTGGAGAAGCCATGAACAACTTCCTTGTCAGGGAGGCCTTGGGCTACTCAGAGTTCGTGGAGGCGCTCCTTCTGTTGTATGAGGACAAGAAAGGGATTCAGCAGCATGACAAAACATTTGATCTACCTGAAGAAGCTCCCCGTGATGGATGGGCTGATTGGTGGTACGATGCAAATGATGATCCAGAACAAGAAGAACCTCCTGGTGCTGCTGCTTCACCTACTTCACCGACGAGACCTACGACGTCACCTATGGCTACAGCGGCTGCAGAAGGCTCTGTGGGTATGTCTCCAATTCGACGTGCTCAACCTGATGCCAGTTTTCGCTCTGTTGGAGTTCCTGGAACCTCAGCTGCAGGCGAAGTTCAAGGTGAGATCAATGAGTTCTCCTTGGCCGACAGCTTCGTCTTGGGTGTCTTGAGAGGATTCCGGTTGTTGCAATCAGCTGGACTCAGTCCTGATGAGAAGAGGGACATCTTGGCCACGACGAAGGGAAGTCTTGAGTTCGAGGTGGTGACACAGGCACTTCAGACTCTATGGGATGAGCAGTTTCTTGGACGCAGCACTACTTCCTTGAAGAGTTCTATGGCGGGCTACTACAATGAGTCCTTCCAGGTGTCTGACGAGACCTATGACCCGAATTGGCATGATGATTGGGGTGAGAACTACTGGAGCGAAGCCGACTACTGGGCTGAGCCTGACTGGGATCAATGGGGTGATCTACAACACTCTCAACCTGAACCTCCTCTACAAGATGATGGTGCTGATGATCCTCAACTACAAGATGCAATGAAGGCTGAGGGTGATGCAGAGAACATCCTCGCTCAAGCTCAGAGAACTTGGGCCGAAGCTCAACGAGCAACTGCCCTGCTTCGCAAGGACCGTGGATTTGGCCATCAGCGTCCTCCCAACGATGGCAAGTGTTTCATTTGTGGTGGAAATCATTTTGCACGAGATTGCCCTGACAAATACCATCCTTCGTACATGAAGGGGAAAGGTAAGGGGAAATCTCCTCATGCATATATGGTGGATTGGGAGACTGCTGAGCTCTACTACATGAAGGGTAAAGGCAAGTCCAAGAACAAGGGCAAGGGCAAACATGCCAGCCTGGCTGACTTGAATGCGATGTGGAAAGGAAAAGGAAAAGCCAAGCAGTCACCAAGCCGTCCAGTTGTGAATGCTTACGCTGCTGAGAACCAGGTGATGTACGGCTTGGAACTGCAGGAAACTTATGAGGCTCAATCCAATGCGGCAACCAACATGCCACCCAATCTTGGTCTTCTCGATTGCGGCGCTACTGCAAGTGCTGGGCCTGAAACAAGTGTGCAGAAGTTAATCAACTCTGTACTGGCTCAGGATCGAGGAGCTGCTGTGACCATTGCGAAATACATGCGGCCTTACTTTCGCTTTGGGAATGGTTGTTGGGGGCAAGCCAATTTTAGAGTCACTATTTCCTCCAAAGTTTCTGGCACTGAGCGAAATTTCCACATGTATTGTTTGCCTGACCCCAAGAATGTGGACCCAAAGAACATGGTACCCGTGCTGTTGGGGATGGATCATTTGAGTGGTAGGGACAGCCCAGAAAGCGCTTTGACAATTGACTTCAACACTGGTTTGGCTGTCGAGTCTTTGAATCCTTCACCAACAATACATCAACTACCTAGTAACAATAAGGGACACTACATTCGGGACATTGTCTACTACCTTACATTGGGGCATTCAAATCAAAAAGGTCATCCAACTATACATGTCATGGAGGGTCACATCCAGTCTGCCGAGCTGCAAACTCTTGAATTTCACCCGGTTGAGTTCTATGACATGAGCATGTCTGACCATGTACATGATGAGCATGTTTTGGAAAGATCGAGAAGGAACCTGGTGGCACTACATGCACAACAACATGGTCATGCTGACGCGAATGCCGAAGCAACTCTGGCTTCAATGTGTCCAAGAGACAGCCCCGCGATTTCCAATTCGACCGCATCCGCTTCCTGTGTGCAGACTGACCATGGCGCAGGAACCTCGACAAGAACAAGTACGGGATGCAATCAAGAAGGCCATGCCGAAACCGGCTCCTTCCAGACCTCTGGACCCGGAGCGCACGATGGGTCACGACCCAAGGGACCCTCGTGCCGACTCCCAACAATGGCCATGCTTCGGAGCTCACACTCCGTCGAAGCCTCAGGGAAATGCACATGGAGCTTGGGTGCACTGCATGGTGTGCAACCTACGTCTTCAGTATGTGCCGAAGAAGGGAAGCACCAGCGGCTCCACGAAGGTCGAGAACCCGGTGATGATCCAAAAGATGCTGCAGCGCTTGCAACCCATGATGAACGGCTACCGCCCAAATCAGACGATTTGCGCGGCAATGGTGAAGCTGATCGAAGCCGAAGAGGTGCTGCAGACCCACATCAACCAGGAGATGGATGCTCAGGCGTTCAACAGCGCCTTCCCGTCGACAAAGGCAAAGACAAAAAAGCCGTCTCCTTCGACAGCATCGAGCTCACCAGCGGCTCAATGGGATGTGGTGGACAATGCCTACATGCCGGCGGAGGGCTACGTGGATCCGAATGCCAACAACGCCAATCCGGCGGAGATGTCCTAAAGAATGACCTGGCTCACAAGAATGTCAAGGCTCCACAGAACCCCAAGGTGCTTGAGAATGACCTGGACACTGAGTATATCAAGGTGACAAAGAATGCCAAGGTTTCAAAGAATGTCAAGGATGCCAACAAGACCTATGAGCTCACACATCGCCTGGCGGCAAAGGTGATGTTCCTGGCAACTACGATGTTGGCGACGGCAACCACTATGATGGCTTCTTTTGCACTTGATGACCGTGATGGACTATGGGAGATCGCATGCTCTCCACACTCTTGGCTTTCCGAGGCGGCTCAGATGCAAGGCTTGAATCCGAGGCGCATCAACCTGCAGTCCGGCTACGACCTCTACAAGAAGGAGACGTCTTTGGTGGTCTCTTCCTTGCACATTTTGGTGCCAATGGTCAAGCCTCAACTACGTTGGACCTGAGCGGCAACAACTTCTTGAAGATCATCGACGACGTGAACGGCGACTTCTTTGGTATGCTCATGAATTTCTCACCGAGGCCTTGGAGGATGACCCTGAACTGTTGGTTTACTACGAGTGGCCTCATCCTTGCTTTGGTTGGAAACAAAAACCGCTTTTGGCAATACAAGCACTTTTTGAAAAACATGGGCATGAGTGGTTGGATTGTCGTATCGATGGATGTCGCTATGGTATGGTTGATGCACAACAAAACTTTCTGCGGAAGAAATGGTTGGTGAAAACAAATGATGAACTTTTTCACAGTCAGTTTCGTTGCAAAGTATGTCAAGGTGGACATTGCCACGGACGCATTGAGGGTCGTGAAACTCAGAAATCAAGCTATTACCCCTGGAAGATGGTACAGTCCATTGCTCGCTTTTGGGCAAAGCAGACTGTGAGCAACCAACAACTACGGCGCATGAACTTCCAGGAGCTTGTTGACGATGAGGACATTGACCTCTATGCGGCCCCTGCTGATGAAGATCCTGGCGAGATTGCGGCTGGTGCTGAACCTCCTGCACCAAATCCTGCGGATGAACCGCCCAATGCTGCAGAACGTGAACGGTGGAAGGCCAAACTCATGCACTTCCACAAGGCGGCTGGTCACTGCTCAAGTCGCAACCTTAGCCGAATTGTTCGTGATGCCAATTTGGACAAATGGAAGATTAAGATGGCGGAGGACTTCACTTGTCCAATTTGCGAAGGTTTGAAACCTGGTGGTGCTTCAAGCGGCAACGTGCCACCTGCTGCAACACATGCTCAATTTGGTCCCTGGCAGGCGCTTGGACTTGATGCGTCAGAATGGGTTGTGCCGGGCCTCAACCAAAAGATCAAGTTCTTGCTCATGATCGACTATGCCACCAAGTTGCGTGTTGCAATACCACTGATGGAGCCCTACGGCATCAATCAGATGCGTACAGAAAGCTCTGCCCAAGTGATTGAGGCTGTTTCCAAGAGCTGGCTGGCTCACTATCCAAAACCTGAGGTGATCATTCCCGACAATGGCATGGGCTTTGTGGCAAAAGAGTTTGCTGACTTTTGCCGCGATCAGAACATCGAGCTCTCCATGCCTGCTGAAAAAGAACCTTGGGCTCATGGATTGGTTGAGAATGCAATGCGGGAGTTTAAACACACCGCAACAGCTATTCAGATGGACAACTTTGCCCAGGATCCATCTGTGACTTTGAACTTGGCTGCCTCTGCACTTAACTCTACAGAGTTTGTCAGCGGCTTCAGTTCACACCAGTGGGCATTTGGCCGTGCCTACACCATCAGCGAGGAAGACCGTCGACTTTTTGCCCAACTTGGTGATCGTGCGTCTTTTGCTTCAATGGTTGCTGCTCGTCAAAGAGCTGAAGATGTAGCAACGAAGACGAGGGCGCAGAGAATCATGACAAGGCTCAACAATAGCAAGGCCAGACAGCCCTTGCGCACCTTTGAGATTGCGGACCTTGTCAAAGTTTGGCGCAAAGTTCTTCCAAGTGATGCTTACAAAGGTCCCCGTGGTGGAATGAAACGCACCAGCAGACCTGGCTGGGTTGGACCTGGAAGAGTTGTCTTCACTGAACTACTTCCTCATCAAGACCGTGATGATCATCGACGTCACATCATTTGGGTGCTCATGCATGGCAAGCTCTTCAGGTGCTCAGTTCACAGCGTCAGGCCTGTGACTGCTGTGGAAAGATTTCATCATGATGTGCACTCCAAGGAGGACGTCACCAAGATGAAGACGCTTTCAGATCTTGTTCCAGAACGAGAGTTTGTGGATATCACCGATGAAGTTCCAGATCCTGATGAACCTGAACTACAAATCCTGCCTCCAAAACCTGATGACACCTCTGTCATTCCTGCGATGCGGATTTGGGGGAAGAAACAACTCCAATCAGATGACTGGAAAACTGTGCACAGGTCAACGCCTCTTGGACTTGGCGTCAGAGATCCTGCACCTCTCCCTGGACTTGGACGTGCAGAACGATCTCGGTCACCTGGACTTGACCGCAAGGCAGCTTCCTCTTCACAACCTGCTGGTCTGGACTTACCAGCTGAGGATGCTCCTGTGCAACCAGTCAATGCCTATGATGATGACTATGAACCTGGAACTCCCATCAATGACCTTCCGGAACACTCACCTGGTGATCCACATCCTGAAGCTCCTGAAAGCAAGCGACCCAGAAACCTTGAATATGACATGAAGTGGGTCGAACAACTTCAACAAGATGCGGCCTTAGAAGCTCAAACTATGGATGTCCACACTGCTCTTCAAGATCCCTGCGTTGAAGAGGCCTTCATGATTTCCTTTGACCTCTCCATGGACTCCCAACGTCAAAGGAAGCAGCTCGTGAGAAACCCTTCACTTTTCATGGCCAAGAAGGTTGGCAATGCTGAAGTCCAATTGGTGAAGCTGACACCTGAACATCGAGCTCTTTTTGAAAAGGCCAAATCACGCGAAGTGGACAGCTTCTTGAAGAACCAGGCCGTGCGACGTTGTTTGGATGATCAAGAAGTTCGTAGAGCTGTTGAATCACAAAGAATCATCAAGGCGCGATGGATTTTGACATGGAAATCAACACCTCCTGATGAGATAGATGATGCTCGAAAAGAAGCAGGTGAGGATCCCAACACTGTCCTCACAAAAGATGGCACCAAAAAGGCCAAGGCCAGAATTGTTTTGCTGGGCTTCCAGCATCCTTCACTCCTTGATCGCACCTTCAAGACTGCGGCTCCTGTTCAAAGCATGGTGGGGCGCAACATGCTGTACCTCCTTGCAACCCATCATCAGTGGCAAATACATGGACTTGATCTGGCCACCGCTTTTCTTCAAACACAGCCGACAGAAGCCGATCAGGAACTTTGGACAACTGGCGTTTCCGAGCTACGTGCAGCTCTTGGCCTACAAGATGAGGGCATCATGCGTGTTTTGAGAAACATCTATGGTTCAACAACAGCTCCACGTGGTCTTTGGCTTGATCTTCACAAAAAGCTTGTTGGACTTGGTGCTGTACCAATTCTTGGCGAACGATGTCTTTGGGGTTGGTTTTCGAAAGAGCTGAAGGATGAGACCAACAAGTACCCTCGGTTGATTGGCGCCATTGGTGGTCATGTTGATGATTTTCACGTTGTAGGCGACCCACATAGTCAAGAATGGCAAGCCATTTTTCAGAAAGTTCTGGCGGCATACAAGTGGGGAACTTCGAAACAAGGAAGTTACCGACATGCTGGGACGGACATACAGACCGTCAAAAAGGAGAATGGCCAGTTTGCCATCCACATCAACCAGGATGCCTACATCGAGACTGTCATGGATGTCAACCTGGATCCTGAACGATGGCGACAATCTGGACCTCTTTCAAAAACTGAGGTAGCTGCTTGCCGAACTACCTTGGGCGCTTTGCAATGGTTGGCCATCCAGACTCAACCTCAACTATGTGCTCGTTGCAATCTGCTTTTGACTGAAGTTGTAACAAATGGAACAATAGAGACAGCACGTGAAATACAACAAATAGTTTCCGAAGTTCGTGCTGCTCCTCAACATCTTCAGTTCTTCAAACTTCCAGGCACCAAGAAGTGGACCGATGTGGTTTTTATTTCAATGGGCGACCAGTCTCATGCAAATCGTCCTCAAGGTGATTCTACTGGTGGACTTTTGACATTGGCTGCTGGGCCAGATGTCCTGACTGGAAAAGTTGTCCCTATGAACCTTCTTGCATGGCGAAGCTGGAAATTGAAGAGGAAAGCGATTGGAAGCAACGATGCAGAAGTTCAGAGTATACTTGAAGCCGAAGATCAGAACTTCCGAGTTCGCATGCTATGGAGCGAACTTCATGGCGTTGGTCTATGCCGACCTGAACGTCGAGCCGATCTGGTAACTGCTGCAGAAGAGCAAGCGTGTGCTGTAGCAAGAGTTCTTTGCACTGATTCCCGAGGTGGCTATGACGCTGTGGAGGTGAACGAATCCCCTCTCCTTGGGCTTTCAAACATGAGAGCGGCTCTCCAAGCATTTCAGCTTCGAGACAACTTGAAGCGGGTCAACTGCGATCTACGTTGGGTGGCATCCGACTACGACCTTGCCGATGCCTTCACAAAGAAAAGGGCTGACAGCAGAGTTGGTTTGATGAAGTTTTTGTTGAACCGACTGTGGTCGATCGCATACGATCCACACTTTGTTGCAGCAAAGAAGAACAAGCGCACCGGCAACACCGCGATTCAGAAAATCGACGATGCTCTGGGTGACATGCAAGTTCCTTTAACTGCAAGTGGTGCTTTTGATAACTATGCCGAGCATGCTCTCGCAATCAGTGCTGGCGAACTATACCGTCAAGATCAGCTGGATGCGTTTGCAATCAATGCTGCTGAACTTCACCGAGAAGACTTAGCAGTTCTCGCAATCCATGCTGGCTCTCGAGATGTTCCGATCGGTTCGATCTTTTCCCTACCTAGCCATAGTACAGTGAGCTGTGACCTGAAGTCCTTTTATGCTGGTGCAACTGAACCGGCCATGTCAGGTCACATCTCAGCGGCGAATGCTGCTGCAACTGGCTCGGTAGGGGCCCCTTTTTAGTTCCTTGGTTGAAGCCAATTCATGGCGACAGGTCGCTGAGACCTTTGGCGGTGAAACAGCGCTCTGTGCGCTTGCTGCGGCTTTTGGTGGAAGTGGAGAAGAACCCCTACGGCCTCTAGGCCCTGAAGGACTTTGGTGGAATAGGGGTTGAGCCCAATAACCCCCACTGCCTGCTCCAGCTACAGATCCCCAATTTTCGTCACCATGGGGGAACCCCAAAACCAAGGGCTTTCAATATGTTGAAAAATCTGTTTCAATACCGAAATGGGTTGAAATGGTCGAATGACTTGGATGATTTGGGGTTGCATCTGGCTGATCCAAAATGACCGCCATGGCTGTGGAGATATTCCAAGATCTTCCGGAAAAACAGGTGTCGTTCGGGGCCGTTGAAGCCGGAAACCATCTCTGATGTCACATCAAATTCTTATCCAACTCCCCTCCAAACCATGGTGAAACTATTCAGTGGTGCATGGTTTTTGGGCACAAAACACAGCGGACATCTATGATATCCTTATTTTGTCCACATACATCCCCAGTATTTTCCCATCTTTGTGGATGATTGCCTCCCAAAAAAGGATGTAAACCCCTATCGGATGTTGCTCGACCCAGGCACTAGGGTGCACCATGTGAGGTGTGCAATCAGCGCTGCAGTGCGCCTCAAACCCCAGCCGTCTAAAAATGGTGACATTTTGTGTGCTATTGTATAGTACATCCAAATCTAAAATGGATCTTGAAGATAAAACATGATAAAACATGATAAAAGCTATATTGTATGTGATGTTCATAGATTCATAGGTATATTGATGGGGATGTAAGCAACAGTGGAGATCAAAGTGGATCTGGATGCCGTCTGAAAATGGTGGATACACCCACGGATTTGGAGATGCCTTCACTATTTGGACCCGTAGCAAGCTGAACTGTGGCGGCATGCGTTGGCAATTTGGAGGCCGCAAAGGAGATCAAGAGATCTCATTTTGGCATGTTTCAAGTGTCAAAAATGTGACCAGTTCCTCATACGTTGGGACATGTTGGGACTGCCAGCTTTCGCTTTCGGATCCCTGCCAGTATCCTGGCCTACAGCGACTGTGAGGGTCCATGGCTTTCACATTGGATAAAGTGGGTAAGGTGCTGCCGCTTTTTTTCAGCGGCCTGGAACCAGCAAAAAAAGAACGAGTCGGCAAGTCGGTCATCGACCCAAAAATGGAGGATCCTCCACTATGGCAATGCAAAAAAACGTCAAAAAACATGCTTTTCCTCATCTTGATATGTTCGATCACCCTGTCTCTTTGGAGGGTCATGTTTTTTTGTAGCAAAACAATGGTGCTTTCAGCCCTTTGATAGAGACCCATTTAAGAAGCAAACTCATTACAAACGCGGCCACTTTTTCTTGCGCCATCCGCAGATGCCATTGGCCGGGTGATGAGGCACTTCTCGGTTCACTTCTTCTTGCCACCCTTGTCATCACCCTCGCCCTTGCGCTCGCAGCTCACCACCTTGCCAAGCATCACCACACCGTTGCCATCCATGAAGGCAACACGGGAGAGGCCCTCGCAGTTCTTGAAGGTGTCGCAGACCAATGGCTGCTGTGGCTGGAAGCTGCACTGAGCCATCTCGTTGGACTTCAGGGAGTGAGGGTCCTCCATCTTCTTGCCACCAGTCTCCTTGCCCATCTTCCACTTCAGGGCAGACACACGGCAAGCTGCGCGACCGCATCGCACAAAGCCAATGGGGGAGTAGCCCACCTTGATCTCATTGGGGATGTCCAGCACCTGGATCTGAGCATCGAACTCCTTGGTCTGGCCCAGGGTGGTGTCCTTCTTGTAGACCATCACGTCACCAGAGCGGGGCATGTTGTTCTTGTCAAGACCCTTGATGTTCAGGCCCACGTTGTCGCCAGGGTTGGCGAAGTCCACACGCTGGTGGTGCATCTCCACAGTGAAAACCTTGCCTGTGCATGGGTTGGAGGCAGTGTGAGTGGGCAAGAAGACCACCTCCTCACCAGGCTTCACCACACCCTGCTCAACACGTCCGGCAAGCACATCACCCACACCCTTGATCTTGTAGATGCCAGAGATTGGCATGCGCATGGGGGCGCTCACAGGACGCTCAGGCACACGGCACATCTTGTCCAGCACATCGTACACGGTGTCAACGTGGATGGTCTCGCTGCCAACCTCAACATCCTGACCCTTCCACCAGCCCATGTTCTCAGACTTCTTCAGCAGGTTGTCACCCATCCAGCCGGAGATTGGCATCACAGGGGTGCTCTTCTCAATGAAGTCCTTCTTCCAGCCAACCTTCACCAACATGCTCTTCATCTCGTTGGCAACCTCGTCATACCTGGCCTGCTTGTAGCCGGCAGTGTCGCAGTCCATCTTGTTCACGCCAATGCAGATCTGCTTCACACCCAGCAAGTTGATAAGACGGGAGTGCTGACGAGTCTGTCCCTGGATCTCACCAGCCTTGTGGTTGCCCTTGGCAATGGCAGTGGTGAAGTTACCATCAGCTGGCACCATGATCAGTGCCACATCGGCCTGGGAGGCACCGGTAATCATGTTCTTGATGAAGTCACGGTGGCCTGGGGCATCGATGATGGTGTAGTGCCACTTCTCGGTGAAGAACTCCTTGGTGGTGCATGCAATGGTCACACCACGCTCACGCTCCTCCTTCTGTCTGTCCATGAAGAAGGCAAATGCGAAAGAGCCCTTGCCCAAACGCTCGGCTTCCGCCTTCAGCTTTCTCCAAATCACGCTCAGGCAGGCCACCCAGCTCAAAGATCAAGCGGCCGGTGGTGGTGCTCTTGCCACTGTCGACATGGCCGCAGATCACAATGGACAGGTGAGGCTTCTCCGAGTTGGCTGGCATGGCTGGTCACGAGATAGCTTTTTCAGCTAACCTCTTCGAGCGCTGCAAAAATGCCAGGGCTGCGGGCAAACCACAAGTTTGCTGCTAGCAAGATGGATCATCCAAAATATCTACAAACAGAACAAGGCAGAAAGTCACAATGTTTAGAACATCTGGGACTGACATATGTTGGATGTATTTGGAAATCAATAGAGTGCTTGGGTCGTCGCTTCAAGAAACAGACATGGGATTGGCAGTCTGAATCCTTCCAATGCAAGGCAAATTAGATTGTTTTCAGCATAAAGCTTGCTTTCAGCCCTTTGATAGTGACCCATTTAAGAAGCAAACTCACTACAAACGCGGCCACTTTTTCTTGCGCCATCCGCAGATGCCATTGGCCGGGTGATGAGGCACTTCTCGGTTCACTTCTTCTTGCCACCCTTGTCATCACCCTCGCCCTTGCGCTCGCAGCTCACCACCTTGCCAAGCATCACCACACCGTTGCCATCCATGAAGGCAACACGGGAGAGGCCCTCGCAGTTCTTGAAGGTGTCGCAGACCAATGGCTGCTGTGGCTGGAAGCTGCACTGAGCCATCTCGTTGGACTTCAGGGAGTGAGGGTCCTCCATCTTCTTGCCACCAGTCTCCTTGCCCATCTTCCACTTCAGGGCAGACACACGGCATGCTGCGCGACCGCATCGCACAAAGCCAATGGGGGAGTAGCCCACCTTGATCTCGTTGGGGATGTCCAGCACCTGGATCTGAGCATCGAACTCCTTGGTCTGGCCCAGGGTGGTGTCCTTCTTGTAGACCATCACGTCACCAGAGCGGGGCATGTTGTTCTTGTCAAGACCCTTGATGTTCAGGCCCACGTTGTCGCCAGGGTTGGCGAAGTCCACACGCTGGTGGTGCATCTCCACAGTGAAGACCTTGCCTGTGCATGGGTTGGAGGCAGTGTGAGTGGGCAAGAAGACTACCTCTTCACCAGGCTTCACCACACCCTGCTCGACACGTCCGGCAAGCACATCACCCACACCCTTGATCTTGTAGATGCCGGAGATTGGCATGCGCATGGGGGCGCTCACAGGACGCTCAGGCACACGGCACATCTTGTCCAGCACATCGTACACGGTGTCAACGTGGATGGTCTCGCTGCCAACCTCAACATCCTGACCCTTCCACCAGCCCATGTTCTCAGACTTCTTCAGCAGGTTGTCACCCATCCAGCCGGAGATTGGCATCACAGGGGTGCTCTTCTCAATGAAGTCCTTCTTCCAGCCAACCTTCACCAACATGCTCTTCATCTCGTTGGCAACCTCGTCATACCTGGCCTGCTTGTAGCCGGCAGTGTCGCAGTCCATCTTGTTCACGCCAATGCAGATCTGCTTCACACCCAGCAAGTTGATAAGACGGGAGTGCTGACGAGTCTGTCCCTGGATCTCACCAGCCTTGTGGTTGCCCTTGGCAATGGCAGTGGTGAAGTTACCATCAGCTGGCACCATGATCAGTGCCACATCGGCCTGGGAGGCACCGGTAATCATGTTCTTGATGAAGTCACGGTGGCCTGGGGCATCGATGATGGTGTAGTGCCACTTCTCGGTGAAGAACTCCTTGGTGGTGCATGCAATGGTCACACCACGCTCACGCTCCTCCTTCTGTCTGTCCATGAAGAAGGCAAATGCGAAAGAGCCCTTGCCCAAACGCTCGGCTTCCGCCTTCAGCTTCTCCAAATCACGCTCAGGCAGGCCACCCAGCTCAAAGATCAAGCGGCCGGTGGTGGTGCTCTTGCCACTGTCGACATGGCCGCAGATCACAATGGAAAGGTGAGGCTTCTCCGAGTTGGCTGGCATGGCTGGTCACGAGATAGCTCTTTCAGCTAACCTCTTCGAGCGCTGCAAAAATGCCAGGGCTGCGGGCAAACAGAAAGGTATCACATTCATGACACACAGGTTTGTTCAGAAGTGGTGGTCTATGTACACCCCAAAGTTGTCAATTCTATTGAAAGCATATGAAAAAATATATTTAGAATATATATATATATTACAATATATTCCAATCCCTTGGTGTGTTGGGAATACCTCATGACAAACGAAACTGCATCGACTGCATCGCACAAGCACTGCAAATGCTCTTCAACAGAGACATGATGCACAACAACGACATGAATATGCACAGAGGCTCCACAAGCGAAGTTGAATCAGCCTGATCCTATACTTTTTGCTACCTTTTGCCCGTGGATTTTGAGGTTTCCTTCGCAAGACATAGTAGTTCCTCGTTTAAGTTTGTTGACGTTTGTCTGACTTCAAGAATGCTGTCTCAAGTACTCAAGTACTCAAAATCAGAGTGATCCATAAAACCGCCTCTCTGATTTTCTGCTGATGGCACATCTAGCACCCAATCAAGGAGCCGGACGCTTGTCGCTAGTCTGTAACTAGTTGGTCCGACCCTTTTTCGAATGTGCAGCTAATGGTGTAAAACACTTCCAAGGAAAAAAGACACGTGATTTTTGGAGAGAACAACCCAAAATCGATTCCCCGAAAACACACAATACCCCAGAAGCTGCAAATTCAAATAAATCTCCACAGCAGCCCGCAATTGAGCTCACTTCTTCTTGCCACCCTTGTCATCACCCTCGCCCTTGCGCTCGCAGCTCACCACCTTGCCAAGCATCACCACACCGTTGCCATCCATGAAGGCAACACGGGAGAGGCCCTCGCAGTTCTTGAAGGTGTCGCAGACCAATGGCTGCTGTGGCTGGAAGCTGCACTGAGCCATCTCGTTGGACTTCAGGGAGTGAGGGTCCTCCATCTTCTTGCCACCAGTCTCCTTGCCCATCTTCCACTTCAGGGCAGACACACGGCATGCTGCGCGACCGCATTGCACAAAGCCAATGGGGGAGTAGCCCACCTTGATCTCGTTGGGGATGTCCAGCACCTGGATCTGAGCATCGAACTCCTTGGTCTGGCCCAGGGTGGTGTCCTTCTTGTAGACCATCACGTCACCAGAGCGGGGCATGTTGTTCTTGTCAAGACCCTTGATGTTCAGGCCCACGTTGTCGCCAGGGTTGGCGAAGTCCACACGCTGGTGGTGCATCTCCACGGTGAAGACCTTGCCTGTGCATGGGTTGGAGGCAGTGTGAGTGGGCAAGAAGACCACCTCCTCACCAGGCTTCACCACACCCTGCTCGACACGTCCGGCAAGCACATCACCCACACCCTTGATCTTGTAGATGCCAGAGATTGGCATGCGCATGGGGGCGCTCACAGGACGCTCAGGCACACGGCACATCTTGTCCAGCACATCATACACGGTGTCAACGTGGATGGTCTCGCTGCCAACCTCAACATCCTGACCCTTCCACCAGCCCATGTTCTCAGACTTCTTCAGCAGGTTGTCACCCATCCAGCCGGAGATTGGCATCACAGGGGTGCTCTTCTCAATGAAGTCCTTCTTCCAGCCAACCTTCACCAACATGCTCTTCATCTCGTTGGCAACCTCGTCATACCTGGCCTGCTTGTAGCCGGCAGTGTCGCAGTCCATCTTGTTCACGCCAATGCAGATCTGCTTCACACCCAGCAAGTTGATAAGGCGGGAGTGCTGACGAGTCTGTCCCTGGATCTCACCAGCCTTGTGGTTGCCCTTGGCAATGGCAGTGGTGAAGTTACCATCAGCTGGCACCATGATCAGTGCCACATCGGCCTGGGAGGCACCGGTAATCATGTTCTTGATGAAGTCACGGTGGCCTGGGGCATCGATGATGGTGTAGTGCCACTTCTCGGTGAAGAACTCCTTGGTGGTGCATGCAATGGTCACACCACGCTCACGCTCTTCCTTCTGTCTGTCCATGAAGAAGGCAAATGCGAAAGAGCCCTTGCCCAAACGCTCGGCTTCCGCCTTCAGCTTCTCCAAATCACGCTCAGGCAGGCCACCCAGCTCAAAGATCAAGCGGCCGGTGGTGGTGCTCTTGCCACTGTCGACATGGCCGCAGATCACAATGGAAAGGTGAGGCTTCTCCGAGTTGGCCGGCATGGCTGGTCAGTGGTTTTTGGTCAGTCTGTTTGAGCACTGCAAAACTGGCCAAGGCTGCAAAGGGGATGGTTTGCCGCAAGTCATTGAACATCAATCATGAGAGCCTGTAGTCTCTCCCAACAAAAAATAATTGAAGATCATCCGATAATTCAGGACGGAAATCACCATATCTCTGACATGCCGTAAGGATTCACCAAACTGACAAGTGCTTTGGAATAACCCTTCAGTTTTTGGACACATCCATACCTTAACAGTGCAGTCTGTCCACCAAAATCAAACCAGCAACGACTTCAATTCAGGCATGGAATGCACGTTTTGGAGGGTCAAAACCGAAAAACCATCAAAAACCCTCAAAAATTTCTATAGAAATCATGGTTCATGAATCCCTTCCCCCTGAACAGGATGGGGGGATGAATCCGGGAACTGAGCCGCTCGCTCTTTTGCCAGTTCTCCACTGGGACCCCTGGACGCTTAGACTTGTCCGTCGCGGCGGCGACAGCCGCAGCAAACGGGTCCCGGATGGTCCCGGGTTGGCGGCGCCAAGCTTGTGCGCTGCCGGGGCCGGGCTTGGCGATGTTGGAAATCTGAAAACTTTTTGGGATATGAATGGGAGAAATCTGGTATTTTAATGGCATGTTAGATATTGTTAAATGGGATATGAATGAGATTCAATGGGATTTATTTGGATATTAAATATCGATGGTATTTACTGGCAATTACCCTAGACCTCCATTTTGTAGTCCTTGCAAAGAAAGCATTTTCATGTTGAAATGTTGATGAATCAGCCTGGGATGAACACTACTTGCTGATAAATGATTCGTAAGTTAAGGGGCCACCTGGAAGCAAAAACCTGCTGGGGCATCTTGGGGCAGGATGCACATTCTACATGCTGGACACAGCCAAACCCGCAGAGACTAGTCCACTGTGGACATATAAGCGAGGATAGGTTGCTACTGTTCAGAGCTCACTTCTTCTTGCCACCCTTGTCATCACCCTCGCCCTTGCGCTCGCAGCTCACCACCTTGCCAAGCATCACCACACCGTTGCCATCCATGAAGGCAACACGGGAGAGGCCCTCGCAGTTCTTGAAGGTGTCGCAGACCAATGGCTGCTGTGGCTGGAAGCTGCACTGAGCCATCTCGTTGGACTTCAGGGAGTGAGGGTCTTCCATCTTCTTGCCACCAGTCTCCTTGCCCATCTTCCACTTCAGGGCGGACACACGGCATGCTGCGCGACCGCATCGCACAAAGCCAATGGGGGAGTAGCCCACCTTGATCTCATTGGGGATGTCCAGCACCTGGATCTGAGCATCGAACTCCTTGGTCTGGCCCAGGGTGGTGTCCTTCTTGTAGACCATCACGTCACCGGAGCGGGGCATGTTGTTCTTGTCAAGACCCTTGATGTTCAGGCCCACGTTGTCGCCAGGGTTGGCGAAGTCCACACGCTGGTGGTGCATCTCCACGGTGAAGACCTTGCCTGTGCATGGGTTGGAGGCAGTGTGAGTGGGCAAGAAGACCACCTCCTCACCAGGCTTCACCACGCCCTGCTCGACACGTCCGGCAAGCACATCACCCACACCCTTGATCTTGTAGATGCCGGAGATTGGCATGCGCATAGGGGCGCTCACAGGACGCTCAGGCACACGGCACATCTTGTCCAGCACATCGTACACGGTGTCAACGTGGATGGTCTCGCTGCCAACCTCAACATCCTGACCCTTCCACCAGCCCATGTTCTCAGACTTCTTCAGCAGGTTGTCACCCATCCAGCCGGAGATTGGCATCACAGGGGTGCTCTTCTCAATGAAGTCCTTCTTCCAGCCAACCTTCACCAACATGCTCTTCATCTCGTTGGCAACCTCGTCATACCTGGCCTGCTTGTAGCCGGCAGTGTCGCAGTCCATCTTGTTCACGCCAATGCAGATCTGCTTCACACCCAGCAAGTTGATAAGACGGGAGTGCTGACGAGTCTGTCCCTGGATCTCACCAGCCTTGTGGTTGCCCTTGGCAATGGCAGTGGTGAAGTTACCATCAGCTGGCACCATGATCAGTGCCACATCGGCCTGGGAGGCACCGGTAATCATGTTCTTGATGAAGTCACGGTGGCCTGGGGCATCGATGATGGTGTAGTGCCACTTCTCGGTGAAGAACTCCTTGGTGGTGCATGCAATGGTCACACCACGCTCACGCTCCTCCTTCTGTCTGTCCATGAAGAAGGCAAATGCGAAAGAGCCCTTGCCCAAACGCTCGGCTTCCGCCTTCAGCTTCTCCAAATCACGCTCAGGCAGGCCACCCAGCTCAAAGATCAAGCGGCCGGTGGTGGTGCTCTTGCCACTGTCGACATGGCCGCAGATCACAATGGAAAGGTGAGGTTTCTCCGAGTTGGCCGGCATGGCTGGTCAGTGGTTTTTGGTCAATCTATTTGAGCACTGCAAAACTGGCCAATGGCTGCAGACAGAAGGTTCTTTGCAAGCAACCTGACCATCAACTAGCACCAAATCAGTACAACTCTGTGGAACTCAAACAATCAAAACAAAATTCAGTAGTTCACAATGTTGTTTTCAAGCGCAAACGTTCTTCAGTTTCCCAGTGGATCTTCTAGAGTTTCATGTGTGACCAGCTAGTGGAAGAATAACACAGCGCCGTGGTGCACCTGATTCAAGTTCAGACAAATGGCGCATGATATGCAAGCAGAAACTTGCAAATTGGAATACGGTTGTTTAGCAGAGAAGACAAAACAACTGGGATATGTAAATCAAACATCTTCAAACGGTATTGATCTTCTTGTGAGCCACTCAGCAACCCCTCAGCGCTGATTTTTTTGGTTGCTACTGGCAATGTCGACGTCAAGGCCTTCCAACATAGTTTTCCTGCGCAGAACGT